TATTTCTGGCCAATGCAACACAAATATCGAGATTACAGCGCTTGCAGAATAAAATAATGCGTTTGATTTTGCGATGCAATATCCCAATTTCCTCAACTTTGATGCTAGACGCCTTACAATGGTTGTCGGTTAAGTAAAGATTTGTATATTTGACAATGGTGTTCATTTTTAAAGTAGTTAACGATTTGCTGCCTCGATATTTGTTTGATCAAATTAAAAGAGGAAGTGACTTTCATGGATATAATACTAGAAACGCGGTTGAAATAAGAACACTACATTTCTTGACTTGTGCTTCACAAAATTCATTATATTATAAAGGAATAAATGTTTTCAATTCGATGCCTAGACATATCTAACGTTCAGCAACACTTACAGAATTTAGAAGACACTGCATTTCACACGTTCAAACTGTCGTTTGAACAGTTATCCAATCATATTTTTTTTTATGAATTGACAAATTCTGTATCTTGACGTTTATTTTGTATTTTGTTTTTAATAATTATTGTAGCACTGCAAAAACTATTTTTGTTCGCCACGATGGTGATGATGGATTTTTAATATTTGATTTAATAGTAGTAGATTAGTTTAAAAAAAAGAATCTACAAAGGTTTGAGCCTCGCGCGCGTATTACGGATATAGAGGACTGAATTTAACATTTGATTAAAAAAAGTATGCAATTTTGAAGCTTATTTGGAAGGTACTTTGAGTTAGTAGTAAGTTTTCTGGCAAATGTTGGGGGTTCGTGAGCATTCCTGCCATTGCTGAAAATTATCTTCTTTCCTTTATTTAACATCGGTCTCTGTTCCCCAATCTAGTGCCAATCACCGACGGACATCGATTGCCATCCATTGACGGCAATCGAATGTGCAGGAAGGCAGCTTCCACACCTGCGTAGGATATCGCACCCATTCAATACCTCAGCTGGGATTGAAACCAGACCCATTGGGGTGAGAAAGCAGTCACGCTTACCACTACACCACTGGCGTCGGCTACTTGCTGAAAGTTATGATAGCATCACATTGCGGGGTTGCTAGCATTATAGGATGCTTTGTTGATTGTAAATTAACTCTTGATTGCTTGTAAAGGGTGATACGGTCAAAATTTGGTCAAGGGAAAACGCATGTAAATCGGTGAAATCGTTTATTTAAAAAATCAAATTAAATTTCTTTTTCAAGTTCAATTAGTATAAAATTCAGGAAAAATATTCAGTTAGGCTTCCGCTTTTCCAAATCCGAATTGCCGGGCCTTACTCTTGACCCCTGCCATCAGATTTTGTACAGCCACCTTGTCCACCTTCTTCGCCGCAGAAAGCCAGTTTGCCTTGAACTGCTGCTCGCCCTTAGCAGTTTTTTTGGTCTTCTTTAGGTTCCGCTTGACAATAGCCCAGTATTTCTCAATTGGGCGGAGCTCTGGCGTGTTGGGAGGGTTCTTGTCCTTGGGAACCACCTGCACGTTGTTGGCGGCGTACTACTCCATGGCCTTTTTACCGTAATGGCAAGATGCCAAATCCGGCCAAAACAGTACGGAACAACCGTGTTTCTTCAGGAAAGGCAGCAGACGTTTATTCAAACACTCTTTCACGTAAATTTCTTGGTTGACAGTCCCGGAAGCTATGAAAATGCTGCTTTTCAAGCCACAGGTACAGATGGCTTGCCAAACCAGATATTTCTTTGCGAACTTTGACAGTTTCATGTGCTTGAAAACATCTGCTACCTTTCCCCTTCCTTTTTCCGTATAAAACTCCTGTCCCGGAAGCTGCTTGTAGTCGGCTTTGACGTAGGTTTCGTCGTCCATTACCACGCAGTCAAACTTCGTCAGCATCGTCGTGTACAGCCTCCGGGATCGCGCTTTGGCCGTCGTATTTTGTTTATCATCGCGATTTGGAGTCACTACCTTCTTGCAAGTCGATAGTCCGGCTCGTTTTTTGGCTCGATGCAAGGTTGTAGACGATACACCCAGCTTATTTGCGGCATCTCGGAGAGAGAGGTTAGGGTTTCGCTTGAAACTACCGGCAACTCTCTTTGTCGTCTCAGCGGCTTCCGGTTTTCGATTTCCCCCCGATCCAGACTTCCTGGCTGTCGACAAACGTTCCCCAAACACTTTAATTACATTTGTAACGGTTGATTTGGCAACTTTTAGCGATTTTGCCAACTTTGCGTGCGAGTAGCTCGGATTTTCGCGATGCACGAGCAAAATTTTGATACGCTGCTCTTCTTGCTTGGACGGCATTTTGACAACTGAAGAGTGAATTCCAAAATCAAAATAGGAGCAACATTCTACACACACACACCTTCAAAATGAGGGGTGTTCAGGTTTTTTAAATGCAAAATTGAAAGAAATACGTCAAGTTGATATTGACCAAATTTTGACCGTATCACCCTTTAATACTTATGAATATTTTAGGTGGACAAAAAGGCAAACTAAAAGGTTGACGCCTGAGCTTTTCCACATTTATATCGCTGTGAAGCAACTGTAAACTCTTGAGGAAATTTATATCTGTAACTGAAACCAGTTCGATTTTGTTTGCTAACCTGGTTAAAATATAATATTTAATTATCTTAAAGATAAATCGTCCAGCTCAGACCTTTGTAGGTGTAAGTGGTGGGACCATCATCATAAGATTAACGTATTTTAACCGTTGCTACATTGCATATAAATACACAGCAAAAAATAAATTTAACTATTACATCCAAGAGAATGCACTTCAGTCATGTCAAAAATCTCATGAAATGTTTATGACCACACAAATAAACAAATGCAATAAAAGCAGTGTAATGTCAGTTCATGCACTGTATTAATGATAATTTTGTCCTTTTTGGTAAGTAATATACCACCAGCGGCGCCGGTGGTGTAGTGGTAAGCGTGATTGCCTCTCACCCCAAAAGGCCTGGGTTCAATCCCAGTCGGCGCCGCCGGGATTTTGCTGAGGCATAAAATTTCTGATCAAGCCTTCATTCGGAAGGGAAGTAAAGCCGTTGGTCCCCGATTCATGAGTTGATAATTAGATAGGTAGGGTCCAGGTGTGGGAGCTGCCTCCCTGGCGTCGGTAGCATTGGTGCTCAGCACGGAAAACAAGATTGACGGAAAACAAATCAAGAAAGAAAAAAAATAATCAAAAAATAACAACTAAGAAAACCACAAAAAAAGTGTTTTCTTATTTTACACAGCAAAAAAATAATTTTGATATCACGTCAAAGTGGATGCACTACAATCATGTCGAAAATATGGTGTAATATTACTTGCTAAAAAGGACAAAATTATCATTAATACAATGCATGAACTGACATTACGCTGCTTTTACTGCATTTGTTTATTTATGTGGTCATTACAAATGTGATATCAAAATTATTTTTTGCTGTGTAACTAGCATTGTTCGAGGTACTTCTTTAAGTGGGATTTTGAGCCCAATTTTCCCCCACTCTGCAACGCTGTAAATTAATATGATGTATAGAGCTATGCTTTCTCTGACTTGGCAGTAGTATAACAATCTTATCAAACGCACTATCTAAATACAGCTGTGCTCGATAAAATAGCAGCGCATGCCGATTTGCATACACAGCAAAAAATTAATTTTAATATCACATCAAAGTGGATGCACTTCAATCGTGTCGAAAATAAGGTGTAATATTACTTGCCAAAAAAGAAAAAAATATCATTAATACAGTGCATGAACTGACATTACGTTGCTTTTACTGCATTTGTTTATTTTTGTGGCTATAAAAATTACATGAGATTTTCAACATCCTCTGGAATGTAATATTAAAATTTATTTTTTGCTGTGTCCAAAATGACCAACTTTGACGTGATGTAACTTTGGTAACTTATGATCAATTGAGCTGAAACGTTCGCCAAAGAACTACAAATATGTTCAATATTTGTGATGTTGTATTATGAACAATTTTACCTGGTGTCTCACTTTCCGGAAAGTGCTTAAAAAAATTTAATATTTTGTAATCGTAAAATTGAACATATTTGTAGTTCTTTGGCGATCGTTTCGGCTCAATTGATCATAAGTTAACAAAGTTACATCATGTCAAAGTTGACCATTTTGTATGAAAATCGGCATGCGCTGCTATTTTAACGAACACAGCTGTACATTCAAGACGATTACTCTGAACCTAATTTCGTCTGCTTCAGAAGATCTAGCCGCACCGAATTCGCCCGCCCTAGCGATCGCACACTTTTCTCTCTATTTCTCTCCTATGTTACACCAACCTTCCAGCGGCAGTCACAGAGCACCGGCATTCATAAACAACGGACGGCGACGGCAGCACCAGTCAGTAGAGCGTATGTAGTAAGTTTACAAGAAGCTTCTCTCCTACCGTTCCGAGTCCAACATCGCTAACGTCATCCGCCGGGCTCCTTCACTACTGAGCGAGAGTGTGTGCCGAGCATGTGGGGGAATGCGTAGCATCAAACTTGTTTTCATGCCAGAACATCATCACCGTCCTCGCCGTCCATCCATCCATACCCACACACATCGCGTCGTCGCGTCGGGATCGGCAGTGCTGCTGAGCATTATCAGAGCCTCGAGGTTGATCCTCTACACACCACCACCCTACTACGTACCATCGCAGTCGGGAGCGGGAGGTGGTCGTCGTCGTCGTCGTCGTCACAGCGAGAGTATGCTGCGAAAACCTGTGTGGAGAGCCGAAACAAAACAAAAACAAAAGACCGACGGTTCATTGGTGTGTGTGAGCCGAGTGGCGCCCGAAGCCGAATGCAGGAGGAGGTGCGCACGCAAGCAACATAAGAAAATCCGCAATACCCACTACTGAGCACGGAGGAGATAGAGAGAGTGAAGGGACCCGAAGGTCTTCGGTTGGTAGTGTGAGTTTTATGCTGGGGGGTTTTTCTGAATGGATTTTCTTCGGGCTCTTTCTCTCGCTCTCTCGTGGTTGACTAACGCTTGTGTGCGTGATCGGTGGGCGAAGGAGACTTCGGGTTGTGCGGGTTGACGATGACGCCTGCCAGTGTATGCTCTCAGCCACCGCCGCACGGCTAACACAGGCTAGTGTCGGTTTATACGCGAAGCCGGCTGGAAGCTATATCACTTTTTATGTTGAACACACTCTCCTTCAGTTTTTGATTAGTCAAGAGTCCTCCTTACGGTTTTAGATTTTTGTGTACTCTTTTGTTTCAACCTTTGTTAAACGCAACAAAGCATCGATTGTTTGTCAGCGGGGGCAAGTAAGAGGAAATTGACACGCGAATCTTGCTTGAATCCGGTTCCGGTGGGACACGTCCGCAGTTTGCGATTTTAAGGATTCGGTTCGGATTGTCTATCACGACAGCCCACAACAGTTTATAGCGGAGAGCACGTTTTTCGTTGAGTCGCACACCCACTCGCTGCGTCGCATAAGGATTTCCAGAACGGAAGCAGTGATTCATAACAGTGTCCTGTTTACTTTGAGTTGTTTTCAACGTTCTGTTATCGTTCGGAAAAAAGCAATAAGTCGAAACGTAAGTTTGTTAAGTTTGGAACTGATCGGAAACACCAAACAGTGATAACCCAGAAAATACTCATTCATAAGAATAAACCGGTGCAGAAGCAGTCAACGAGTAGCCGAAGTTGTGCATGTACACAGTGAACGAGTTTTCAAAAACACATTTTTTATCAGTTTGATTGGTAATTAATGCAAACGAAGAACGAAAAAACGAATTGTGATAATAGAATGTCAATGACCAATCGGAGAAGGAGTGCAGTTTACGAATGATTTCATCATCCAGCAATGTCGATTCCGGAAGATACTATCCCCAGAGACCGGAACAGTGAGCCGATTCGGTCCCGGAGATCGACTCTGGCGTAATACAGAAACGCACGTGAAACTCGGCGGCAGCAGCACCAGCGGCGGCAGTCAACAAAACATCACTCAGCAGCAACATATACGCGCTAATTTCAAAGTGCCGCTGGCTCCTCGACTGCAAAACCGAACAACGAATAACAATTTTTCGCTTAAGCTACCCGTTTTTGAAAGTCCATTTTTCCGCAAGTTTACTAATCAATTACAACGATTACAAGTTTTAAGAAACCGCCAAAAGTTTATTCGCATTACGAGACAACGATTGCTGTTCAAGTGCTTTTTTTCTAAATACAACAATTTTTACAACCTTTAAACGTCACTTTTTAACAAATTTAAAATCGTTACAAAACAAATATTATTCTAACAACCAATCGCTTCGTAAAACTCGCTATCAACTAAGGAAAACCGCAAAGTTATTTCTACTTACAACCATAAGAATCGAGAAAAAGTGTCTTATTTACAACTAGAAGAAGTAGTCGAAACCTACAGATGTAAGAAGATTTTATAAAGTCTACAAAGTGATACTGAAACAGAAAAAAAAAGTGTGTATCTCCCCCAAAAGCGAACGGAAGTCAACTGAAGCAACACAAAAAATATGAATTAGCATAGTGAGTAGTTAAAAAAAAGCGAGTGAAAAGTGCCACAAATGACGATGAAGAAAATATGACACCAAGGTTGGGAAACTTATGCAGAAAACTATTTCGGTTTGCACATTAGTTTGCAATAAACTGAGTTGAAATAGTGATAGTGGTAATAAAAATATTTGGCTGACGAAAATACAAAGAAGAAAAAAATATCAAAACGGAACACGTCCAGATCTATTCAACCCGTTCAAAGTGACACCAGCCGTACCGAGGAGCGCAGATAGAGAAAAAAAAACCCTTCATCGAATCCATCCAAACATCCAAGCGGAAGAAATAAATTCGTCTCTTGTTTTTATATGGTAAGTGTTTTGTCATCGTTTTATGCTGTTTTTGCGTTCCGCATTTTGCCGGCAGCATTAGAAATTGGATGGACCTGCTGCCCGGCTTAGTGGAGGTTGAGCTGGATCCGTTGGGTGGACGTGCGGCACATGTGCGTGCCTCCCGCAAAGAGCACGTGGTGTGTTGGGGGGGCTCCAGATGAATTTCCAACTGGGGTAAAGTTGTCTGTTATGGTCCCCTTGCGGAAAAATTGCAGCGATTTCAAATGTAAATTCCATCCTTGTCCAACTCATCTGCATCGGATTCATGAAAAATATTGCTCAAATACTAATTGAAGCAACGAGAAAATTATATTTCAGCGTTAAACACGCCATGAGCTGTCAAATGAACAATAGGGTGTTCTTTTGTGAACCATTTGTAGTAGATGGCAGTCAAATAAAATGTGACATTTTTGCCCGTTTTTGAATTAAATTTAATATAATTCAATGCCATATATTGTTTCTTTCTTGTATATAAGCCTAATTCGCATGATTGAGATGAATTTCTTCCAGACAGCGTATCATTTTTTTAATTCCGTGTTGGGTATATTCATCACTGCCACCATTTCTTAAAAATTGTGACATATTCTCCGTTGTAATATGGCTCTGTCAGAATTTCGTGCCACTTTTATGTGAAGCGACCGACATGGACTAACCAAAAGCATTTTCCCAGCCAGGTATTACATTTCGAATGAAATTTACTACTTGGCTGGGAGCTGAATTCCAAATAACAAAGGGTTCTGCCAGCCCCTTATCCAGAAAAATACGCCTTTTATTGAAGATTGCTGTACAATACCATACTAGGTGTTCAAAGTCTTCCTTTTTTATTCCACAGAGACAACAGCAGTGACCCTGAGATCTTTCTTTGATAATTCAAGAATTCTAGTCATTGTGATCATCGGATTTATAAACCGTTTCGATTTCCTAGCAATGGAAGTATTGTTCCAGTTGGTCTCCACTTTCATTTTTCCCATTTCATGATCTCTAGTTTTGATGATGGTTGTCAACTTTAATGCAGATTTTCGTGGGTAAAATTAGGTAATTTACTTATTTTACGTTTTAGTCATAATAGGCAAAGGATAAAAGTGTACCTAAGTGAAAAACATAGCTGAAACAATAAATAAAAGATTATGAATTTAGTTTTAAAGCCCAAAACAGCTACTAAGATAGACTGATGCAAAATTTGAAATTTTCGCTCCACAATGTTCAAACCGTTGGGTTCTGATTAGCCTTAAAAAATTGAATTCATTTAGTAAGAAACTGACCTGGCACAAACCATTTGAAGTTGACATGGAAATTACTATGCAAAAACCAAATATTTAGTTCATATCTATCTAACAATTCACCATATCGCTCTGCTTTAAAAAAATGATAGATGTGCTTGTTGAAATTTTCTAAGCTACAACTTTGTTGAAGATCATTTTTCAATAAAATGCAAGGAACAAAAGTTATTAATGATTCAAGGTAGTCTTATGATTATGCTCAATCAACTGTTCAGCAGGCAACTTTGGTGTTTTTGGGACGTAGAATAGAGCGTTAAAGTCATGGCTACTATGTCACACTGTAAAATACAGTGTTACCCACAAAATGTTATTAAATTGTCAATCTGTTGAACAATTAATAAGTATTTAAATTGACGATTGGCTAAAAATTCATCTTCCGCAAAGTTGAAGCTGAATTTCTCATAAGAATAGCTATAGAACTTTTTAACAGAGCAATATGGAAATAGGCTGGAAGTCAATGAACAAAAAGTTTTGTTTAACCATAGTAATTTCCATATAAACTTCAAATGGTTTGTACCAAGTCAGTTAGTTATCAAATGAGTTCAATTTTTGAGAAGCTAATAAAGACCCGATTTGGAACCACTTGAGCATTGTGGAGCGAGAATTTTAAACTTTGTATCAGTCTAGTGTCCATAATAGGCTAATTTACGCTAAATATCTGCATAGAGCAGCTGATTCTTGATGAAAAGGGAAGATCAGCATGAACAGAATTAATCACTCCGTCATTATTTGATCGAATAATAATTGGTACTTTAAGGCAGGGTTTCTTCCGCTCACTTTGCTATAAAAAATATATTGCGGAATTATGGAACAGTTAGATGTTATAATGTTATTTTATACTTTTAAGTAACAAGAAGAAGTTGTGAAGTACGTGTTTGACACAAAAAAACGTGCCAATTTCGCTTTCAGATAGTCGCAATCATCGATTTCACGAATCTTAAAATTGCTAATAGTTTCTCTCTGAAAGCAATATTGACAGGTGTTATGTGTATTAAACATATTGTTTAAAACCTCTTTCTTGTAACATAAAATTACAAAATAACATTATTACATCTAACTGTTCCATAATTTAAAAAAAAATCAAAGTGTGTCGAAGCAACGTTGAGCATATTTCAATTCGTAAACAATTCATTTATGTAACGGGTTTGCGACGAAAAGTAATATAATAGTCATAAGGATTATGCAATATACCTTCTTAACGTTAAATTTCCAAAAAAAAAAAATTAAGTGCGCGGAAAAGCGCAAAATGTTTGGTTTAGGATCATAACAAACAAGTACAGCAGAGATCATCTGTCATAGCAATAAACGAAAAGGTAGAATCATATTCAACAGCTTTTTCATGTGGCTAAGCCTTTATTTTGTTCAACAAGCCTACACGCAAAAAAGAAAAATGTCATTTCCTACATCATCTGTACATGTTTTTTTTACAGCAAATGTACTTGCAGTACAGTAGTTACTATGAACTGGACTGCCGCTCATGGCAAGTCCGTTCCATAGCACAAATCAGCATGCTGATAAAAACACGTTAAAAGTTTGCTTCTCACCATTGCTTCTTACGTAATGGGACAACTCGTTTGGCTATTTGTCCAAACTTTTCCAGAACAAAGTTGTTGAGTTCATCTAGTATTATGAAAATATGGGTGATTAGCTACCATCTCCAATGAAAAAAAAAACAGTTGCGCTAAAAACGCAAATGGGACCGACTTGCGATGAACGCCAGTGTAGGTGACTGCACAAGTTACCATAGGCTCGTTATTCCGCCTTTTTGGCTATGTACAGCTGAACAACGGCTATACCAGTGTTCTTGTAAGTTCATATGAGGCCCGTATATAGCTAAAAAGGCAAAATATTGTGCCTATGGTTACTTGGGTGTGCAAGTAACTTTTTCTAGAAACGAACTTTGTTCGAAAGCTTTGCTAACATGAAGATTACAAAATTATTTGAAAAACTTTTCGTCGATCACATACCGGCGGTGAACATTGCGAATTTCAAATAATTGTTATGCAAATCTGTAATACAATCAAACGTTTCCCAGTTGAATCTACTGTTGGCTGGTTAAACCGCTGTACAGCTCAGACATCAAGAAGCCGTATAACAATGCAGATAGGGTTAACTATCCCATTTCCGGCCTATTAAGCACAACCCGCACTTAGTCTTTCTTGATCTAGCGTAGTATAGCACCAAACGGAATTTCATTATTACTGATGGCTTCCAAATGTATTTACCTTTCCGTACGTACCGTAAGATTTGATAAAGATAAACAAATTTTTGTGATATTGTTAAAAGTCTAACACTGCTTCTTGACGCCAAACTCGGCCTTCGGATTCTAAACTCGGCCTCACGCATTGAAACGCCATTGAAACGCCAATGAATTTACTTCGGCCTATCGGATGAAGGTAAAGAATGATTCAGTCGGAGCGCTTCATTTGTATTTGAGAATATTGGGTGAAAACATTCATATCACGCGTTCTTATTGACTTCGTTCGGTAATATTTGAACTAAAGTATCGTACCAAACGCATAATTGACCTGTTAACGCCAAAATCATGAATTTATTTTATGTTGCCTGCTTGATAGGCCCAAAATGGGCGCTTAGGCCGAAGTAGTTTTCTACCCTACCGCATATAAGAATAAATTTCATCACATAATGTTTCATCGTCTATAATGCAAACTTCATTTGTCCTGTTCAGTTTGTAAAATGGACAAACACTTTCAATCACAACCTTTTTATCCGTCTACATAACTTGATGCTGCCTTTGGCAAGTAAGAAAACTCTGCTAATAAGCAACTTGGGAATGATTACAAACAATAAATCTGAAGCAGCATGTATTTTTTCGAAATTTTAAATCACATATACAAATTTTGTTCTCTCAATCAACACAGAACTTTTCACATTTTGTTCTAACTCATCGATTTGACAAGTGTTCATGATAACATTTTTTACTTGGGGCTGTTCATAAACTTCGTAGACAGCTTAGGGGGGAGGGGGTTGGCAATCATCCACGGCCCATACAAGTTTAATTTTTTGTATGGAAAATTGTCTACGCAGAGGGAGGGGGGTTCAAGAATCCCAAAAAAACTGTCTACGTAGTTAATGAACAGCCCCTTAAATACTTCCGTGTTTACATAGAATCTCATTGACAAAATTACTTATTTATACGAGAAAACTTACAGATGGAAATATTGAATATAGATCCTGCGTCGAATGTTCATTCTGAAGCTATACGTTTGACTAGGGAGTGGGACATTTTGCCGAAGGACGTTTTGCCGTAGGACGTTTCGCCGAAGGTCATTTCGCCGAATGGGTCATTTCGCCGAATGGAACTTTCTAAAAGTTCAGTAAATTTTGAAATCAGTCTCGAAAAAATATCAAGAAGGTTCGATTTTTTCAACCTGGTAATGCTTCCTTTCTTTTGAACACGAGCAGTTCTTTTGAGTTGTACTAATTTCGGAAATGTTTAAATAATCAATGCGTCACATTTGAAAAAAAAAAAATGTTACCTTACCATTAGTTCTTTCAATTTGTGCTGATTTCAATTTTTTTTTAAATATTCAATATTTTTGATTTGTATAAATGTTTCTTGGTTTTAAAAATGAGCAGTTCTTTCAAGTTGTACTGATTTCAGAAAATTTCAAATAATGGAAATTTTTGATTTATAGGAATGCTTCCTCATTTTAAACATGAGCAGTTCTTTCGAGT